AACCGAACGAAACACACGCGAACCGAACCGAGAAAGTCGAACCGAACGGTTCGGATGGTTTTCATAAACCGTTCCATCCCTATTGTAAATACAACTACCCTCATTGGACAACAAAATGGATCATCTAAAAGTCGAACTGTCTTCAAAGGAGGAGATAAGTAACTGCTGTGCTGTCATCCTGATGAAGCATGGCTTAAATCATTTAGAGGCTTCACAAAATTCAGTGCAAGACTAGCAGGTTCTGCAACAGCTTTTCCCCACTGCTATCAGACTGTTGAAACGATGAAACTCTAATCAAGACAAAAATCAAGATTCTGCATCATACTTGAAAACACCATATTTTCACTACATGGTGTATGTTCCAATCCCTTTAAGTAGAACTCAACTCAATGTTTATATTTCTGATCACTGCTGGACTTTATAAATGAAAATGTTCATTTTAACATTATAAGCTGCTCATCACTTTTTAAAAGCTGTATGCATCCCAATCACGTTTGGAATACATTCTGTGTTTGCAAAATGACAATAAAGTTTGTCTAAGTCTAAAGTCTAAGTCTAATATGGGCACCAATAAGAACATTACATGTAACAAAATAAACCCCACCACAGAGCCATAACACAGGGTCTTTACAGTATTATTGGAAAGCACAAACATGTGACTGTGTCAGCCTCACTTCAGCAACAAGGAAGCTGCTGAACCCTATGATACAGACAAACACACACTGTCAGACTTACATGAAGCGACGTTCAGGTCGATGATGCAGTTAGGAAAAACACTTTTTTGTCGCAGCGTAACCCTACATTCATATGTCCCTTTGTCACCAGCAGAAATGTTTCTCAGAACCAAAGACACGCTATTATTCTCCATCTTTTCGTGCTTTAGTTCCACCCGGTTCTTGAAAGAGGAATGCTGCTCTGAGTCAACAATGTGTCCATCTCGATACAAAAAGACATCTTGTTCACCATCTTCTTTTTTCTTGGACCAAGATACAGCATTGATATTTTGGCTGCCATTAATCTGACATGGCAGAAGGGTTTCCTCTCCAAGTTCTGCATTGATGTTCTTCACAACTGCAGGAGAGGAAATAACAGAGAGCAGAGAGGTCAGAGTAGAGTCCTGCAGTAAACCTCCACATCAGTATGAGAAAAAGAAGAAGAAAATAATAACTAAAAGCTGACATCTGAAGCTAAATAAGCTACATATAGAATATATGTATATATGATCTGTTTAATATGAGCTTCTCTTTGCAGCAGTGATGGTCAGTGAAGGCAGTGTGACCCACTAAAAGTTTTTACCCCACAAAAAAAAAAAAAAAAAAGAAAGATTTTATAATTTTTGGACCAAAAGAAGACTGCTTTAAAGTTAGCAGCCAGCTTCAGCTAATCCAGCTAGAAAGCAGCAATCAGGCTGTAAATCTGGGTGTAGTGATGGACTCAGACCTGAACCTTCAGAGGATCATAGAGACAGGAACACAGTCATCCTACTATCACCTAAAGAACATCTCCAGGATTAAAGGACTGATGTTGATAAACTAATTCCTGCTTCATTTATCTTTAGTAGAATTGATCCCTGCAGTGGTTTTCTTCACAGGTCTGCCTAGAAAGTGGATCAGAGCTGCAGCTGATCCAGAATGCTGATGCCCTTGTTCTCTCTAGAACTAAGCAAGTAGAGCATATCAGTCCGGTTCTGAAGTCCTTCCACTGGATCCCTTTATCTCAAAGAATACTGTACACTTTAAAATCCTTCTGTTAGTCTAGAAATCTCTGAATGGCTGAGCTGGTAAATACACCGCAGATTCGATGTCAGGGAATCAACAGCCAGACCTCTCAGGTCTTTTGGATCAAATCTACTTGGAATCTCCAGAACCAAAAAAGGAAAAGCAGCTTTTAGTTCTAACCTCTAAAAAACACCAGTCGTCATTTGGATGTTGTTTTTTAGGCTAAATGTTGTTGGTCCCTTTTTTTTAATTTAGTCCAGAAAAAGTTGTTGAAAATTAGGCTGTTTGTTCAGCCTGATTCTGTCCCACTTTAGTCGAATAACATATGTTGAAAAAACGTTTTAAACCCAGTTTTTAACGTCTTTTCTATGATCTGAGAATTATAGCTTTTCTTCTTTTACTTTTCAACCAAATGCAGACGGTGTTTGAACATAATCATGTCGTTTCAACCAACGTTTGCTCGCTGGATATGGTCCATTAATCTGGTGCTCAAACCTTCAGCTGTTTTTAATCTAGATTAAAAATGCACTTGATTAAATTGGCCTTTTGCTGAGCTACTCAGATATTAAGTTTCCTTCCTACTTTCCTATTTTGTCTGATCAGACATTTTATTATTTTTCTATATTCTTTTCTTTATTTCAATCATTTAATTTGTATTTACTTTAACGATGTTTGTTAATTAATTATTTAAAAACCTTTAAGCAATGTACTTCTTTCTACCTTTTTTTCTCATGTACAGCCCTTAAAAATGTCTTGCTACTGAAATGTGCTACAAACATGGACAAAATAGTTAGTGAGGTACCCCTCATTTAATGAAATAAAAGTATCTCAGAAGTGTTTAGATTTAAAAAATTTTATGTAAATAAACAAATGAAAGTCAGATATTGCTTTTCGATCATGCTTTAACGGAATGATAAAAATTAAACTCATGAAGTTAACTAAATATTTTATTGCCCAACCTTTAGATTTAATCAATCTGTTCCTGTTCCTGTCAGTCAGACCTCTGCTCCGAGATAAAAATGATAAACAATTTTTAGTTTACAGATAAAGACAACTAAGTTTGGCATCATGTTTAAAATATTAAGGTGGCTATTAAATTTATTTATTTTTTTAGTTAAGTTTTGTATTGTGTCAGTGTGATTGATGCATTTTTTCTTCTTTTCAATAAAAGCTCACACAGTAATAACAAACGAATAAAATCGGACATTTGTTAAAAAGTTGATTATACAGTAACAGCTATCTAACCTAGAGAGACTAACAATGAAAAAAATGGGGCAAATAGAGGATTTGTTTACATTTAATAAATTAACAGTAGTAGCCATTCAAATTTCCCCACTTTCCTTGATGTGTCCTTGGCTGGTCCCCTACTATTCCTTTTTAAACATCAATATTTGCACTAAAATATTCTTTGTGTCATAATTTGTGAGCATTAAGCTCTAAAGAGAAGCATAATCTCCTGGGCAGTTTTGAATGGCTGCTACTGTATAGATTTTAGTGCACAGACACCAGCAGAAGATGTAGAGCTGAGCATTGCTAAAGAAAAAAAAAAAATATTTGATTTATGAGATTGGAAATGTCCTGAATACTGTTGGTGGACTGGACGATAAATTGTTGATTTGAAGGCTGTGACACTTGACCATATATGACTAATATGAATGAACGTTGGCTGCGTTTGTCTGCCTACAGTAGGAGGTGTGGAGATCAGAAGAGCTTTGGCAGAGACACATTTCAATAACACGGCCATCTGAAAGCGGCTATTACATCGAGGAAGTCTTCCAAATTGAAAATGCACCTAAAGTCTTTCAGTTTGAGTTAATTTCTAGTCAGCCACCTGAGGCTTGTGCGATCTGACTCACTGGCTCTAGGCTTGGTTCAGACATGTTCACATTATATTGGAATATTCCGATCAAAGCAAGATCTGTTCATACATGTTTTTCTAGCTTTAGTAAAAGGTGAGAACATTAAAGCCTTAGCTGTTAGAATTAGTCTAAACTTTACTATTTCACTGCTAACATATAAGGATAACACCAAATAATAAAAAAATTATTAAGCCTAAATACTATGAGATAACTGTTTATTTTAATTAAAATTAGTTAAATCATTGAATAAAAAAGCTACCAGTTTAGAGTCAGTTTTGATGTAATGAAACAATTCTTATTATTCAGTAATGTTGCTTTTTTGGGCATCTCAGTAAGTTTGCAAAATCTACAAATTTTTCTTGATACATCAATAAACCTAGCTTTTGTTTTTCAGCAGAAAAGAAACAAGCAGAAGATTTGTTTTCATGAAAATGAAAAGAAGAAATTAAGATGGAGCCAATTCAGTTTCTGCTTCTTCCAACTTTTGCTTTCGGGTATAAAAGATGATCTGCACAGATTAAGGTCTATATGACCTCCATTAACCTGTGCATCAACTCATTCTGTCAGTCCATTTGGACTCTACCAGAACCAAGTGTTGCATCAACACCAATAAGTGAACATTTCTGCTTAAAACAAGATTTCTGTAACAATCTCCCGCTTAGTTTAAGCCACAGCGGTAAATGTTAGTTCAAAGAGTTTTTCATGTGTTTAGCAGAACTTACCCTGATTTGTTGACCCATAAGAGCATGTTGACACCAGAACCCAGACTAACAGCAGTGCTAAAGCAGCCATGAGGACGTAAGAGCAGCTCCTTACATTTAGCAGGACTAGTTCCAACTGGCAGCTGCAAAAAAACAGTTTGGCTGTGAGGGATACTCATTTGAATAAGAGGGAGTTTCATCATCATCGAGGCAGTTTCTTATTTCATGTTTACCTACCGTAAAGATTAAACAATAGATACAGTAACTGGTCAAAACAATTAGCTCTTTTACCTTAGAACAACAGGAGAAACAACGTACACCTAACTGGTTTATCAAACCTGACTCGTCGAACCTGAACATGGTTATTTATTATAAACTAATAATTTTATCTAATTCATTACTAAATTATTTTGATCCGAAAGCCAAAATGGCCAATTTTATTAGATGGATTCTTATTGTTTAACAATGTGCAAATTTATGATTAAGAAAGTATTTATTTCTTTGATTTCAAATGGAAAAAAGTTAAGAGTTTTAATAATATTTTATTTTCCGTTTATATACAGTTTTTGTGAGATTCTATTTACATGAAATAATTAGTTACACGCCAAACAAAGTTTCTCAGGTTTCTAGTGTTTCTATGTGCAGTACTTGTTCTCTCCACCAGATGTCGCCAGTCCCAAAGTTCCTTGGAGTGGCAGATTCCACAGCTCATTGCTCACACCTGTACTGGGCTTGGTTTCAAGAAGCAAGTTTACTGAAAACTCTATGGCTCTGTTCGAAAACCTGGGCTGCATCCTCCAAGGACGCGGTCTACCTAGACTGGATCCTTCAAAGTCCTTGAAAATAAGGAGACCAGAAGAGTTTAGGCTGTGAATTCAACCAGGTCTACCCTTCAGCGGGTTTTACCACCGTATGCTCTGTTGCAACCGTAAACGTTGACACACAAAGCAGGAAAAGAATGAATAC